TTGTAGATAAATATAAACTGTAGTTTGTTAGTTTATACATGACATAAGATTTCTTTCAGACAAAGCACCTGCATTAAACTTCGTTCGTTCAACAGACGGCCTAATGTGGAGGATGTTTGCAGTTCCTGGGAGCTTTGATTGCATAAGGTGTGTTGCTATTATTAGACTGAGAAAAAAATATACAAAAACAAAAGGTTGGCCTTAAAATTTGCCCGTCCCTCTTCCAATAAAAGGAGGGGTTATTATTACAGCATTAAACATTTCCAGACAACACAGAGGACAGGGAGGCTCATAAACTGAGCAGATCTCTCACAGTCATGATGCTTGCAGGTTTCTTCTTTCTGCTCCTCGTCACAGGTAAGATGTAACATTTCTGTATGATGTATGCAGGAGGGAAATATCGTTTGCTACCCCAATACACTTTAGTTTATGATACAGAATTAAAAAAAAGACTAAAAATAATAATACTATAAGCAACATCTATTTCCTAAAACTTTTCAGTGTGGTAAGTGGATAATTCAGCAGAACAGGGACACTGTTATTGAACATTTCTGTTAAAATGTTCAGTTGTCATTTTACAGGGCTGTGAGCTCCACTAACAAAATCCCACTCTGCTCTATTTTTTTAGGGTAGAAGCAAACATCTCAGAGACTGATATCTGAAAACCCACCAGAGCTCAGTGGGAAAATATTTATTCATCACTTTTGGTTTACTGATCATATTATTTATTCAAAGGAAAAATAAGTCAAAACCTTTTAGCAAAGGCAATCTAACAACACAAACGTTTGTGTTCTGAGAGAGTTTTTGTTAAATGTTAACAATTTAAACTTCTGCAATTGAATCAGAGTAGAATCTGTACACCTTTTATTTATTTTTTTGTCAGATGGAAGTACCAACAATTCCTCAGAACATCCAAATCTTCAGATGAACTATGAGGACGATGTGAATAGTATAGACATGGCTGACACAAATCAACAATCTGAAGGTATAATTTAAAGAAACAATTAAGAACATTACATTTCCTGATTTCTTTACTATTAAGATGAAACTTTCTCATGTATGTCACGAGAAATATGTCATGATGTTTTTGCTGTAGATGGGAAATCCTCCAAATCTGGGTGCACCCCTCTGGATGTTTTTAAGTACTTGAACCTGACCAAAAACAGTGACCACACCATGATCCGGCCTAGTCGTGATGAATTGCGCACGCAGATAGTCCTGGATGTACTGCTCTATGCCATTCTAGATGTGGTAAGTTGTTGCTTATGATAAAAAAAATTTAATTTCTTGTTGAAGTTATATTAGTTCCATTCCGTTTATCTGTGACATATCAGGATATTACAAAACCTAATTGTATCTACTGGAAAGTTAGTCATAGGCCAACGATCAAGT